TTCAACTAATTCAAGTTAAAAAAAACAACAAGAAATTGTGGAAGAATTGCACACCAGGTTGTCAAGAAACTAGCAAGAATGCAGTCATGATATATTAATCTCTGCAAAAGAATGCTATTATTTTCCACTTCGAACCAGTGTTTCAAAAAACAGCAATGTGCAGTTTATTCTGGAAGTATAGAATTTGAGTCAAGAATTGTTCCCTAGGGCTGTGTAGATGATTTGAGACTGTTTTAGAAGTACCTTTTCAGATTGTTAAAGCAGTCCTGCCTTTTTTCTGCGTGCTTGTGTGGCTGTTTTGAAAGTGACTTCTGGATGTCTCTATATCAGATATGTCAAACTCGCAACGTCACGTAACGTCACACGACGTATCGGGAATGTTTTGCCATTGCGGACAATGGGGTGGGCGCGGCTTCCGCGTGACACGTCCAGCCCGCGGGCTGACAATTTGACATCCTGCTCTATATGGACAGGCCAGGTATACCATTCACTTTTGTTTTTTTCCTTTTTAATCTGAATTATTACGGATACTTAATGGCACCTATTTAAACCACTTAAGATTTGCAGATGATATTGTTCTCTTCTCACAAGATTCAGAAGAGTTACAAAGACACAAGAGCTGCACAAAGCAGGAGAACCATTTGGCTTAAAAATAAACCTTGAAAAGAGCAGGTTATGTTTAATAGAATCACCAAAGAAATATTTTTTTTTATAATCTGGAGAAGAACTAGATGTAGTGGACCACTACATATACCTTGGTCAATGGATCACAATGGAAGGTGATACAAAAAAAGGAAATTGAACGGTGTGTTCAGTGTGGTTGGCAGGCATTTGGCAAGTTAAGCACAATTTTCAAGAACAACTTTCTCCTATGCCTGAAGAGAAAAGTTTTCAATCAGGGTGTGTGCTACCTGTTGTAACATTTGCCAGCGAAACGTGGACACTGACGTCACAGTCAGTACGAAAGCTATGAGTGGTGCAAAGAGCCATGGAAAGATGCATGCTCAGCATCACAAGACAAGATAGAAAGACCTGCACATGGTTTAGAGAACAAACGAAAGCATACAATATCATAAGAGAGTAAAAGAATTGAAATGGAAATGGGCTGATCACATAGCCAGAAGAACTGATGACAGGTGGACCAAGGCAGTTATAGAATTTGATAAAAAGCATCCACGAAAGAGACCTAAAACAAGATGGAGGGATGACATCAGCAAGTATTGCGGGCCTAATTAGCAAAAGAAAACTCAGGACCATATTTGTTGGAAACATGCAGAAGAGGCCTTCATCCTGCACTGGATAGACCAGGGGTAGGCAACCTTGGCTCTTTTATGACTCGTGGACATGCTGGCTCAGGAATTCTGGGAGTTGAAGTCCATGAGTCATAAAAGAGCCAAGGTTGCCTACCCTGGGATAGACAATAGCTAGAATGATGATGATGATGATGATGATGATGATGATGATGATGATGATGAAGATGGTTATGGATACTTATTATATGGCATTCTACAGGGCATTCTGTTTATATAACACAGGACACATTTCTCATTGAGTTCATCTCATGACAGCACCACGATTTACTGCCACTATTCTATAACCTCATGCTTTGTTTCACAGGAAGAAACAGTTCTGCTTCACTACATTTTGCCAAGGTTGGGGATGACCCAAATTTGTTTAGATTTAGATGCTGGATGAAAACGTTTTATTGGCAATCACTGCTTTTAGGAAATTATTTTGCAATATTTTGTTTTAAATAACTTCATTTGTGGTTGTTATTCATTATTGTATAATTATTGGTCATCCTTTTAGTTGTAGCTTATAATTTCATTGTAATTTGGATGCTCTTTGGAGAATCTTGGGTAAGATTGAAAGGTGGATACAAATAATATTAAAATTATTTTTGATGAGCAGACTTGAAAAAAAAATGCCTTACTTATTCTTTGGCAAATCTTTAAGATGGAACTGGACAATGTTTAGGGAAACTTTCTCATGCTATGGCACTCTTCCTAGACACCCCTAGTAGCTACTGTGAGATCTTTCCCTAGTAGCTACTGGTAGATCTTTCCCTAAAAGCAAATATTAACAATACACCAGGAACCAAGGGATTTCTCTTACTTGAAAAAAGAAATTCTTTCTTCAGCAGACACGCACTTTTGAATTATGTCTTTAGAATTTGCTAGGAAAGATTATTTTTAACTTTTAAGCTCTTATGACTTAATTTTTTTCCTTGATACAGATTTGCTGGGGCATTGAAAACTTGTGTCACTGTATTATATTATTAACATTTGAAAGAGATTTTTAGTGATGTTCATTGCATGGATATTTTCAGGACCGCGTTTGTTTTTAGCAATATTTTTCTTTAAATCCAGTTATTATTCATTTTTCATCTCTCCAACACCTACATTGTTTATATATATTTTTAGATCTTATGTCTTAAAATCCATTCTTCCCCTTTTTATGCAGTCATTTAATGTTTCTGTTAATACTGTCTTTTACTTGCCAGAAATTCCATCTTCTGTCTTATCTAATGACATAATCCGCTCTATTTTTTTAAAGAAAGCTTACTATTGAGATGTTTTGGCTGTGATAAGCCTTCTTTTCCCCAACTTTATTTTAAACAGAACACTTCAGAAATATACTTAATCTTCTTAGCATGTGTGAATGGTGATTCTATCAAGAACTCCACAGTCCTGGGCTCACCCAAGCTGTGAAACACCCTTTTATCTAAGAAGCTTTGACAACTGAGTTTTAGCTTTGTGAGTACAAGTACATTAAAGGGGTTCTCTTATCAGTTGAAGAAGAAGGAAAATTACATAGATCATTGGTTCTCAATAGAAACAAAAGAAGCTTAGCAGTATTGACAGAATGCTCTATTTTGCTGAAACATCTTCAAAATGTTGATAGGAAGAACTGATGAAAGAAATCAGTTTTTAAGAACACAAAAGGTTGCACGAAGTTGTCACCCCTTTAATCTTCAAGGGAATGTAGAATTATGTCTTGAGACTGGCTTGCAACTTCTTGTGGGTGTAAATGAACAAATAAATGAGTCCCTGACTAGGCAGATGATTCTTTGCCCCATCTCACCCATAGTTGAAAGTACAAAGAAATAAACATGCCTTAAGAGTTCTTGAAACGTGGAAGTTAAGATACAAATGTAATCCATAAATTTAAAAAATTGCTTTAAGGAAAAATAGCGTTTGCTTTTTAAGAATTCCTTCCTGCATATTTTAAACATTTAACAAACCCATTGTATTCTTAACGTACTATGAGTTTTTGTAACTCTAACCGTTGAATTCTTGTATCATGATCAAAGCAGTGTTTTATTTGACCATTCTCTATATTGTTTTCATTAGTGTTAGTAATGTTGAGAAAAGAATTGTCTTTGTTTGGAAATTTTGAATTTTATCTTTCACGTTTGAATTTTGCACTGAATTATCCAAGAGATAGATTTAAAGCTGGTTATAAATGTAGTTAATTTATTTCAAGAGATTTAGGCTCTACCTGGCACAAAAATGATACTGGAAGGCTCACAATACAAAAGCAACAATAAAAAAATACAACACAGTTAAACAATTATATCCACCTTTTTCCAAAATCTGGGGGAACATTCAAGGCTTTCTGGAACATCTTTGGTGTTGAAACTACATGAATCTATGGGGGATCTCATTTCACAGAATAGGCTGCACACCAGAGAAGATACATTCCTGGGTCCTGATAGGGAGGGGGCATTGGTTAATCAAAGGGACCCAGAGTATGCCACCTTCTCAGCTCTTGCTGAATGGATAGAAACTATGAGAGAGAGGTGATTCCTCAAATAACATAATTCTATGCCATGTAAGGCTTCATAGGTAATAACCAGTATTTGAAAGCACACCTGCAACTCATTCAGCTTGTGAAACACGATGCTACATGGACATATTGCTAGCATGTCCATCAATCATCTATGCCATTATGTTTTGGACCATTTGAAGTTACTGAATACTCTTCAAGGGCAGCCCACGGAGAATGCATGGCCATAGTCAAGCAGAAAGATTAGGGCAAGTGTGAGTAGATGAAAGGCCTGCTGATTCAGGAAGGGGTGCAATTGTCACAGAAGATGGAGCTATGCAAAGGCTTCCTTTGCCATAGATGGCAGGTAGTCTTTGAATAGGAGCTGGGAGTCCAAGAAGACTTCCTACTGCCCACCAGCCTTGAGTGGGAAGAGCAACCCAGAAGACTCTCTGCTGCCCACCACACTTGAATGGGAAGAACAACCCCTCCTTTAGCCTTAGGAAAATCCCCAGATCTGAGGTGAGGGGTTGGGCTGATACCAAAGCAAATTGGTCTTGGAGGCATTTTTGTAGGTATATGGATTGTCGTGAATTTTTATGCTTTAACAAACCTTTTACCGTCTAATCCGTCATATAAACAAAGCAGAATGTCAACCTTTAAGCGATTCTGGCTGCAGCCATCTTCACTTTGTTTTCGGTTGCCACAGCAATGGGAAGGGGGAGATGCATTTTTCTAGTACAGTCATAACAATAACTTTCCTGTGGGAACCAAGGTCAAGCTACCTCAGTTTTGGCGGGCTGGAGCTTCCCTTAGAAAGCCTGCCAAAGTAGTTAATTGGGGATTGTGATTTATGACATATTGCAGGGGTGGGAAGTTCAACTTCTCATGTAACCTTGGGGGGGGGGGCTTTCAGTCTTGGTTTCACCTTTGTCCCTGCCAATACTATGTAGTCATTAAATGTGTTCTTTGAGGAAAGCAATTGCCTCAGAATTCTTATTTCTACTGGTCTCATCTATCGGAACCATGACACAGAACATCTTCCAAAAGTCCTCCTTTTGTCAAGTATTATGTAAGCATGGTATAAAATATCATAATAGTATGAATAGTAAGGATTTTTACCAAAGCATGTATTAAAAGAGGAAATCCCTTTGAATCCCACCTTATTGTGAACGTTGTAACTTCAAAAAGCAGAATATTTTATTTCAAATATTGTCTCTTTTTGTCTGCAGGCCACAGAAACACTATTCCGCATGGGAGTATCAAGAGGACACATTACCCCTTTAAGACACGGAGAGGTAAAACTTTTTTTCACATGCATGGTATTGTTTTAAAAGTGAATTTGATGAGGGCTGATAGAAATACCTGAGAAATGAAAATAGAACTATCACCGCTTTCTCATGATCACCATCTCTGCAATTAATTAGCAGTTCAAGGGTGAGTACTAATCCTTGTATAGTGTCGGACCTGCCACACAACCTAAACCTCTAAATAGAAACGACCCTTAGCTCCATTTTTGAGAAAGGTATAGCTCATTAGAGATCAAGTGTATTGCAATAGTGCAAACCCAGAACTGAAAATTGTGTGCCCAAATTCCTAAGTTCTACTTTTTCCTCTCTTAACTGTCTCTCATTGCCCATCCTAGGGTAACCAATCAGGTTCAGGCAAGATGTTTTCCTAACAGTCAGTCCAAGTGCAGTTTGGTATGAGGCCCCCTCCTTCTTCCAACTTTTGGGTGACCTTGATGCAGCATCTCGAGATACAGAACTTACTTTCGGTTCCCCAAACATTCCCACCTTCATTCCCCCTACCCACAGTTCATGGCAGTCTGTCACCACATAGCAGCATAAGGTGGCAGCTGACATAGATTTTTTTAAAAGACAAAACCAGCACCATCTTAAGAACTTAAGGATAGGACTGCTTTCTGAGCCCAGCATTTTTTTTTCTGGCTGCTCAGAAGCAGGAGATATACTAGATATATTCCTCTCCTGCCATTGTTCCTGCAGCAAACATTGGGAGGCATATTATCTCCCCTCAAGATAACATGGACATTTCATGAGTAACAGCCCTTGATTCCCTAGTTCTGTGTGGATTTACTCATTTCCTTTTACATGTAATCCTTGATTTAAAATCGTTTGTTTAGTGACCAAATGATGTGGCCTTATATACAGTCATCACACCTACGAGAGCCACAGCTTCCCCATGGTCACGGGATCAGAATTCAGGGACTTGGAAACAGACCTGTATTTATGATAGTTGCAGCATCCTGGGATCATGCGATCACCATTTGTGACTTTCCCAGCCACCTTCTGACAAGCAAAGTCAAAGGGGGAAGCTGGATTCGCTTAACGGCCATCTGATTCACCTACAACTGCAGCGATTCGCTTAGCGGTTGTGGCAGAAAAATCGGGTGCCACTCACTCAACAACCGCCTTGCTTAGAAATGGAAATTCTGGTCCCAATTGCGATCGTAAGTCAAAGACTGTCTGTAAAGGTGGGGTCAGGTTAGTGGCTACAACCTCATCCTGTGGTGATGGATTTCGCAGATTAATTACGCGTGGTGGTGAAGAAGCCACATCGACAAGAAAACGAGTGTTCAGCAAACTAGAGGGCCAGCTCCGTCTCTAAAGACTCTTGTCTTTGTGGACTGGTGGTGAAGTGAATGGGTTATTTTGAAAGAAGTTGACTGGCTGGAATACTGAAGGGGGCCATTATTCTCCAGCATTTTGTTATGGATCTGACTTGTACAGCAGCTGATGTTTATGAAAAAAAGCCCTGTTGCCTCCAGATGGCTTTAGAATGCTTGTGATTTTCATGTGGGATGCAAAGCAAAATGTTTAGTTTGGACAGCCGGAGAACATGTTAGCATTCATACAGTTTGAACTGCTAGAGCTGAGGCAGTTACAGTAAGACTCCACTTGAGATGGGTAGTATGGATGTTTGGTTCCAAAATCACTTGGGCCAGCTGAGTGACCTTGGGCCAGGTACTTTCTCTCAGCCCTAGAAAGGAGGCAGTGGCCAGCCACTTCTGAAAAACTTGCCCGGAAAACTGCAGGGATCTGTCCAGAGTGTCTCTGAGAATCAGACCCAATTGAACAGAGGAAATAATAATAATAATAATAATAATAATAATAATAATAATAATAATAATAATAATAATAATAATAATAATAATAATAATAATAATAATATTCGCCGAGCCCTGAAACCCCATCTATTCCGTGCGGCCGGCCTGGCGTAGTTTGATTATGTTTTAGTGGGGGTTTTATATGGGGTATTTTTAGAGCAGGCCTGTTATTTAATTTGATTTTAGAACAGAAACTTGCGTATATTTATCGTGGTTTTTATTATCGCCTGTTCACCGCCCTGAGTCCCGTAAGGGAGATAGGGCGGTATATAAATTCAATAAATAATAATAGTAATAATAATAGTAATAATAATAGTAATAATAATAGTAATAATAATAATAGTAGTAGTAGTAATAATGATGATGATGATGATGATGATGATGATGTTGGAAGGGACCTTGGAGGTCATCGAGTCCAACCCCCTGCTCAGGCAGGAACCCTACACCATTTCGGACAAATGGCTGTCCAGTCTCTTCTTAAAAACTTCCAGTGTTGGAGCATTCACCACTTCTGGAGGCAGGTTGTTTCACTGGTTAATTGTTCTAACTGTCAGGAAGTTTCTCCTTATTTCTAGGTTGCTTCTCTCCTTGATCAGTTTCCATCCGTTGCTTCTCGTCCTGCCTTCAGGTGCTTTGGAGAATAGCTTGACCCCATCTTCTTTGGGGCCACCCCTGAGATATTGGAACACTGCTATCATGTCCCCCCTCGTCCTTCTCTTCGTTAAACTAGACATACCCAATTACAGCAACTGTTCCTTATATGTTTTAGCCTCCAGTCCCCTAATCGTCTTTGTTGCTCTTCTCTGTACTCTTTCTAGAGTCTCAGCGTCTTTTTTACATCGTGGTGACCATAACTGGATGCAGTATTCCAAGTGTGGCCTTACCAAGGCATTGTAAAGTGGTATTAATACTTCATGTGATCTTGATTCTATCCCTCTGTTAATGCAGCCCAGCACTGTGTTGGGTTTCATGTGGGATTTTCCTGTAGTTCCCTTAAGGACAGGACAGTTGTGGAGAGAATCTTAACTGTAGGGTCCTTGGTGCTCTCTTGTCTGTCATTTAGCTCTATATCCACACATACCTGTGGATGCAGTCTTGTATTAACGTTGTCAGTGGGAAATGATTAAATCCACTTAAAATGATCCTTTCTCCTGATAAGTTAAGTGGTCGTTTGAGTGGTAGTAAAGAAAGAACAGTACGAATAATCTTGAATTAATAATTGATCTCTCACTTTGCACTAGAGTGAGCTGATTTGAAAAATAGCACTCAAACCAAACAAGTCCGTAAGGGCTCTTCAGACTGGGCATGTTTCCAGAATCAAATGGATGTGGAGTTTATAACACCGAATGTTTTCTTTCCCTTGGTTCCTTCTCTCATCTTTTCTGTATGCTGGGGATAGTTCAGCTTCTTCGTCTCCCTGGTTGTATTTCTTTTATCAAGCTTTTCATGGAAGAAGTCATCTTTTACAGCTAACATGGGGTTGTTTGCTGTTTTTGCATGGATTACAGCATTATTGACAAGGTTTTGGCACGGGGTGTGGAACTGGGGCTGCCAAGTGTCATTCATCCAAGCAAGGCAGATAATTCTTGGAATGGTGTTCCTGTTCAACAACATCTACTGCATACTGAAAAATTACTTCAGGACATGTTACAGCCATGGAGTTGACTGATCTCCAAGAAGTCTAATCGTACCAGGGGAGATAACGAAATTTAAGAATATAATTGACTTGATGACTCAGCACATTTCTCTCTTCCTTACTAAGGTATTTTCACCAGGAGCCACTTTGGTCTAGGGCAGGGGTAGGCAACCTCGGCTCTTTTATGACTCATGGACTTCAACTCCCAGAATTCCTGAGCCAGCATAGCTGGCTCAGGAATTCTGGGAGTTGAAGTCCATGAGTCATAAAAGAGCCGAGGTTGCCTATCCCTGGTCTAGGGCAAGGTTAGGCAACCTTAGCTCTTTTATGACTCGTGGACTTCAACTCCCATAATTCCTGAGCCAGCCATGCTGAGGGGAAAGGGAGAGGTTTCCAAGCTGAGCCACATTGGCTCAGGAATTCTGGGAGTTGAAGTCCACGAGTCATAAAAGAGCCAAGGTTGCCTATCCCTGGTCTAGTGGTTTAGGCACCAGGTTAGAAACCGGGAGACTGTGAGTTCTAGTTCTTTCTTTGTCATTAAAGCTGGCTGAGTGACTTTGGGCTAGTCACTCTTTCTTAGCTCAACCCGCCTCAAAGGATTGTTGTTGTAGGGAAAATAAAAGGAGGAATGAGTATTGGTTATTTTTCACCGCTTTGAGTTATTTATAAAAAAAATAATAAAAGCCGTATTAAAAAAATCTTTTTTAAAAAGGCTACTTTCTGGAAAATATTTGTAGATTCAGAGATCACTTGTTTTTCTCTCTGCCCCTTAGAGATCCCAGGGGAATCTGGCTGTTTTGTGAAGGTTTTGTCAGTCTTCAAGAAAACTTAAGAGCATAACCTCATAAAAGGTAGAGGAGGGAACTAGATAGTCAGCTATACTGGACTTAAGTCTTACTAACGTGACATTTTTCTTCAGGGCAATGGCTTGTTCTTAAGTTCCTGACTGTCTTTTTTCATGCTCCAGTTTTCTTCTTTTTTTAAAAAAAAAGTTTTGCGGTTCCTTTTTGATGGTCATCAAGGGAATGTGAAAGATAAAAGAATATAAATTGGCGTGTTTTGTCATTAAGAGTTAGTTCATCACATAAGTGATCTTTTATGTGTAAAGCAAGAAACCTGCATATAATTCTGCAGACAACACTTCAGGGATTCTGTTTTGGTGGACAAAGGCCATTGTGTTTCTTGTCCCAAATGGTCAAATTTTCAGGGGGAAAAATAAAATGGACAGGAACCATATGTTTACTTGTTGCTAAGCAACAGTTCCCTTATTTATTTATAAGAGCAGCCATAAGCTTCCTTGAGCTCCCAAAGGCTCTGAAGTAACAAACCCTGACCTACTAGGCACCTTCCTTCCTTCCTTCCTTCCTTCCTTCCTTCCTTCCTTCCTTCCTTCCTTCCTCCCTCCCTCCCTCCCTCCCTCCCTCCCTCCCCCAATTAGCTACAAGAAAGTGAATGTATTTGCTATAGATGGTGTTTCTGTTAAATAATGACAAGCTCAACAGCTTTCCAGTTTATTGGCTAGAAAAGGAGCAGTG